GAAAATCAGCAGGACTGTACTACTGTACAAGAAGGGAGATATCCACAACATTGGCAACTATCGCCCAATCTGCCTGTTGTCTGTCGTCTACAAGCTGTTCACTCGAGTCATCTTGAATAGGATTGGCAGAACACTAGATGAAGGACAACCATGTGAGCAAGTCGGTTTCCAAAAAGGATTTAGTACAATCGACCATATCCACACAATAACCAAGCTCATTGAGGTTTCTTGGGAGTTCAAGATGCCGCTCTAACATTCATTGATTTAAAGAAGGCCTTTGATTCTGTTGAGACTGAAGCGGTCATTGAGGCCCTAGCCAAACAGGGCGTTCAAAGTCAGTACATCAGGATCCTCCGTGAGCTATGTTGAGGATTCACTACCAGGATCTCACCATTCTACAGGGAGGTGATAATTGACAACAAGAGAGGGGTTCGGCAGGGTGATACCATTTTACCGAAACTCTTAAGTGTTACCCTTGAGAACGTCATGCAACGACTGGAGTGGGAAGGAATGGGAGAGAAGATAGACAGTTGGCAACTACACCACCTCCACTTTGCTGATGACATTGTTCTTATAACACCAAATATCAGCCAAACAGCACAAATGCTGGCCAACTTTGACTGTGAGTGTGGAAAGGTTGGACTACAGGTAAATCTCACAAAGACAATGTTTATGAGAAACAGTCTCATTCCTGATATTCCATTCATTCTCAATGGGATGAACATCTCCGAATGCAACAGTTATGTGTACCTAGGTCGAGAAGTCAACATGACAAATGACCTGGCACCCGAGCTGCACAGGAGGAAGAGAGTGGCTTGGAACGCCTTCAAGAGCGTTAACGAAATAGCTAAGAGGACAAAGAACCTCCGGCTCTGGGCACATCTCTTTGATTTCACTGTTCTTCCTGCATTAACATATGCCTCAGAGACCTGGGCCCTATGCATACAGGATGAGAATGCTATTCGGGTCTTCCAAAGAGGAATCTAAAGAGTTATGCTTGGAGTATCACGCTTCACTCAAATGAGAGAAAGAATCCGGAGTTCCAACCTCCGTCGACGGTCAAGAATCAGGGACACTGTCTCGTTTGCCAAGACATCGAAAATCAGATGGGCTGGACACGTAATGAGATTTGGAGACGACCGCTGGACTAGAGACATTACCGACTGGATTCCATGGGATGTCAAAAGATCTCGTGGCCGCCCACCTATGAGATGGTCAGACTTCTTCGTCAAGACTCTGAATGATTGGGCTGTTCAATCATTGAATGAAAAAGACTGTTCATGTTCCTAGAACGAGCAGACACCATTGGGCTACGTTAGCACGCGACAGGGACGAATGGAGATGAGTAATGGGTTATCAAATAATGTCAAGTTATATATATATATATTTTTTGTTTGTTTGTTTGTTTGTTTTGTTTTGTTTTGGGGCCATGCCTGGTGATGCTCAGGGGTTACTCCTGGCTCTGTATTCAGGAATCACTCCTGACAGTGCTTGGGAGACCATATGGGATGCTAGGAACCAAGCCCAGTTGGCTGTTTGCGAAGAGCTCTACATACTGTGCTGTTGTTCTGCACCCCCCAAACCCCAATTCAATGTGGTTTTGAAACTCAGAGGATCATTCTAGACAAGAATTGAGTGTTGAAAATAGGTAAAGGATACACACAATAACCTTTCAGTAACTGTATTGCAAACCATACTGCCCAAAGGAAAAGGAGGGGGAGGGAGTGCGGGGGTAGGGGTTGGAAAGTGGGGAGGGAACTGGGGAACATTGGGGCACACTAGTTTGGTGGTGGGAAATTTACATTGGTGAAGGACAGGGTGTTGGAACACTGTGTGACTGAAACCCCTCATGAACAATTTTGTAACTATGTTTCTCATGGTGAGTCAATTAAAAAAATATCTGTGAATGTGTTTATTTTGGTCACACCCAGTGATGCTCAGAGGTTGACTAGTTCTGAACTCAGGAATTATTCCTGGTGGTGCTTGGGAGACCATTTGGGATGGTGGGGATTGAACCGTGGCTGGCTGTGTTCAAGGCAAGCACTCCACCTGCTATACTATTACTCCAGCCTGAAAGTGTGTGTGTGTGTGTGTGTGTGTGTGTGTGTGTGTGTGTGTGGTGCCAGGACTGAACCTAGGGCTTGACACAATCAAGGCAAGTGCTAAGTTTTGACACAATTATTTTATTTTTTTTAAAGTTTATTATTTAGGCCATGTGAGCTCTCATGATACTCAAAATGAGCAATGGAAAATAAATGATCTAGCATATGCCCCTGGTAGGTAGGCTTGAATGGTGGTGGGAAATTTCGAGCATAACATAATGCCCAAAATTAGAGAGAGAGCACTGGGGAAATTGTCTGCCATAGAGGCAGGGTGAGGAGTGGGATGTGGGTGGTGGAAAATGTGCACTGGTGGAGGGATGGGTGTTCCAACACTGTATGTCTGAATCTCAAACATGAAAGCTTTGTGACTCTATCTCATGGTGATACAATTAAAAAAATGTAATGTGGAGCTCATGCCCAATTCAATCAGCTTAATCAATGGCTGAACAAATAGCAGTATTCCTATATTATTTAAAAAAAGTGTATTATTTATTTGGCTTTTGGGCCACATCCTGAGGTGCTCGGTGCTCTGGGATCACTCCTGTCAGTGCCTGGGTGACCACATGTAGTGCCCAGGATCAAACTAGGGTTGATCCTATGCAAGGCAATAGCCACTGAGTCCGGTTTAATACAATAATTTTAATAGCAGAGACAATATACATTTTTGATTAAAAAAATGGCAGATGTTTAACTTTCTTAAACCCAACAAGTATCTGAAACAGAAAGGCAAGGAACTTTAGATTTCAGAAAGGCATTGTCCTCTCTATATAAGAGAATACCTTTCAACTTTCCCAAGATCACAAATCTGTTAATGGTATCTAGCCACCTGTTCTTTCTCCTGTGCCACTATCATTCACTTATTACATTTTTTATGAAGGATGAATTAAGTACAAAACATTGTACCTGATACTGTGCGGGATTCTGATTCAGGAGACAGATCTTTCCCACAAGAGACACAAGGAAGGTAAGACTTGAATCAACCATAGGGGCCAATAAAGCATAATGTTGGATGATTATGTAATCTTGTGACAGCCAGTAGAGATTTGGTCAAAGACAGGACAATTCAGTCTTGCTCTGAAAGGCAGGACTTGTTCTTTAGTTTAAATAAGGCAGTTTGGGGTTACGCAAGAGGGCGATCAAAGGTATCACAAAATCTGGGGGAAGATTAAGTATTTCATAACAAGGGCCCTCTCTCTCTTCTCCCTGAGACTCTTGCACACTTTCATTGTGTCCTCTGAATGCTTGTCCTGGACACAATTCAGGGAACTCCCTACAAAGTCTTGCCTGACTCCCTCTTGGCTGTGTACGTGCCTGTTTGCAAGTTCCCCTGGACACACCTGTTATTTTACCTCTTTGCTTCAGCATCCCCAGGTACCTCCCCGGTTTTCTATACAGAGAGAATTGAGGCTTAGAGGACCAACTAATCTTTTGTCAGCCCGATGATAAGTTAGTTGCTAACAATTTTGGTTTCCTCTCCTATTTTTCTTTTTCCTGGCAAAGGCGGTTTCTCTATAGTTTCAAAGTCAGCTCTGTAATCAGTCTCTCTGTTGGCTGCTCTCTACACGCACTACGCAGAGGACTGAATATCTCTCTGACCGACCCTCTTTCTCCCACTCCGGGGCTTGGCACGTAGTAAAGTCTCAACTAATACTCCGAGAATGAACAGAAACATCCTGACACTGGGCGGCAGATGGCCGGGCCAGGATTCTCGGAACCGGTTCCACCTTTTCCCCCCAAGGTGTGGCTTCGGGGGACTGGGGCGGGCCGGACGCACAGCCGCACCCGGGGAGCGACCCCACCTCGGGAGCCAACCAGCGCCTTCCCATCCTCCCACCTGGCGGCGGGTCTCCATCCCCACGCCCCCACCCCACAACCACGCAACATCGCCCTAGCGCCGGCCGGGGCCTCCCCGCGAGGGCCGCGCCGCCCGCGATTGGCCCAACGCGCCATAGCGCCATCTCGGCCTACGCGCGGTGCACGCTCTCATTGGCCTGCGGCGTCGGGGGGCGGGGCCTCCCGGGGCGGGGCGGGCCCTCGGCCCAGAGCCCCGCCCCTGGTCCTCCCAGCCTGGCGGCGCCTTCGGGCGGCCGGGGGCTCCCGGTGGCGCGTGGCCGGGCCCAGCTCGAGCGGCGGTTACTTTGGTGACAGCGGAAGCGCCGCGCTGAGGAGGCCACCGCCGCCGCCGCCGCCGCCGCCGCGCGCGAGGGATGCCGGGCAGGGCCGCCGCCGCCTCCGCCGCCGCCGCTGCGCTCTGAGGTGCGGGCAGCTGCGGGGGACGGAGCGGCAGGTTCTGGGGGCCCGGCCGGGGGCGCGGGTGCGACTGGGAGGACTCCGAGGCCATCTTTGAGGGAGCAGGAGGAGGAGGAGGAGAGGGGGAGGAGGCGACGCGATTCGGTTTTGCGCGCTCGCCCCGGCCCTCCTCGCGCTTGTTCCGCCGCGGCCGGCGCCCTGGGAGGGAGGAGGCGGCGGCCGAGTGCTCGCGGCCGAGTGCTCGCGGGCGGCCCCGGCCCCACGCGCCTCTGAAGGCAGCCGGGCGAGAGCAGAAGCCGTTTCCCGGCCCCACGAGCCGACGGCGACCTCGGAAGCATCCCTCGCGGCCACCCGTCCTGGAGAAAGAAGAAGAAAAGGAATGAATGGCTCGCCCGGGCGCGGCGCTGCTGGAACCGGCCGCCGGGGTCTGCTGATTCCCGGCTCCCTGACCCCGACGACTCGGTTAGGCGGAGTCCGCGGCCGGCGATCTTGAGCCCCCACACCCCACTCCGTGCGCGGGGCTTCCCGGACACTGACCGCTCACCCCGTCTCGGGGGAGCACGCCTTTGGCAGGGCGCCCTCCCCCCCACCCCCCAGTCGCTTTCCCTTCCCCCCCGGCCGAACCCTCTCCGGGAGGAAAGTGCCCGGAGCCCCGGCACCATGTGGACCTTCCTGGGCATCGCCACCTTCACCTATTTCTACAAGAAGTGCGGGGACGTGGTCACGCTGGCCAACAAGGAGCTGCTCCTGTGCGTGCTGCTCTTCCTGTCGCTCGGCCTGGTGCTCTCCTACCGCTGTCGCCACCGCCCCGGGACCCTGCACAGCGGCGGCTCCCACTTCGCCGTCTTCTCGCACGTCCTCTCCGCCTTGCCTCTCATCGGCTTCCTGTGGGACAAGCCCCCGGCCGCCTCGGAAAATCAAGAGCAGCTCGGGTCTCGGAGGGTAGGTTGGAGGCCAGAGGGGGGCTGAAGGAGTTTCCGCATTGCAAGAGGGTTAATTGCACCTGCAAAGCGTTTCATTTGATGTAATTAAAGCTGAAAGGCGTGGTGGGGTGGGGTGGGGTGGGGTGGGGTGGGGTGGGGGGGCTAGAGATCCAAGCTATCCTTTCTTCGCTACTTCCTTGCCACTCCGGGAAGGATTGGAAACTTTGTATCGCTGCACTTTGTATCACCAGAGCCAGCAGCCAGCGCTGAGTGGTTTGATCGTGAATGTTGGTTTTCTGGGGGAAGGTGAAAGGTTAGGAGTTAAGAGGCGGGCAGAGACTTTTTCTTTCCCCCCCCTGGGATGGTGGTGGTGGTGATCCCCTCCGGTTTTCTTTCACCTCTGGGGAATCGATTGTTTTATTTTTGTAGTCTTGGAAGGACAGTGGCAGGGGCGGGTGAGGGCTGGTAAAACGAGGCAGCCGCCCAGGGGAGGAGGTGGGCAAACGATGAGAGAAGTTGGCAGTAGCTGATGGCGGCTCTCAGCATTTTCATCTCCCCACTTCAGTGGGGCCTGGGGCAGATCAGCTGGTAATGTTCCCCCAAACTAGGGAGTAAATGAGTGCTATGCTCACGGTTCAGTCCAGTTCCCTGATCAAGGGCAGCTTTTCAGACTCCTGCAGTTACTTCTTGGACAAGGCGACCGGAGTCCTTCAGTGGTAGCTGAGGGAGGAGAGGTGATCAGGCGCAGAATGCTTGGGGGCCTGTTGACTTCGGTTACTTGGACTTTTTCTCCGGGAGTAACAGGATTTTCAGTTTTTAAGGATAGCATCCCAGTTGCTGTTGTGGAGGGAAGCAGAGTGGAAGCAGGGCAATTTGGTAAGAGGTTGACAGTAACAGGCTGAGGGAGGGATGCAACAGGTTAGGAGGGACGCAACAGGTTAGGGTGAGTGGTCGACAGTCATCTCTTGGTTTGGGATCTCCATTATTTTGGCTGTATTTGCAGTCCAGACTAGCAAGATTTCCAGAGGAGAGGATTCGTTTTGTGTGCATTACCCATTACTTATGGCTGTGAGACATTTGGGAAATTTATAATGACCTGTTCTCCAAGGTGAGATTGGCTCTGGCCTTCCAGGTAGCTAGGGAAATCATGTGATTTCGTGTTTGTGAAATACCTAGTGCATAACTGTCTCATAGTAATACTAGCCATGAAGAAGGGTAGCGTTTATCTGCTGAGTTCAGAGGATGTGGTTGGAGGAGTGGGGAAGGAGGGAGAAGGGAATCTTTGATTGCCAGTTGGAGATCCTTACTCTTTGTCTGCTATAACTTCCTCATGGTTCTTGAGCACCAGTGCAGGTGACTGGACTGCCATAACATATTTTTGTGTAGAGAAATTATGGGTTAAGAAAAATTGTTTTTCTAGCCATCAGTATTGGTGCTATTTAGTGACTGTCTCAGGCTTCCTGCTCATTTCCTGAGCAGTTGGGATTTGGAGAACAGGTGTTTTCTCTACTGGACAGACTCTGAAGGATCTAATTTTTCTCTGGATTGTTAAATGGAAAATGTAGGAAGAAGCAACTAATAATAAATATGGCTAAAATGACAAAATGGGCTTAATTTTCCCTTAGGAGAGTACTTTAAATATGTTTACTTGTAACCATTAAGATATATTGATAGGAAGAATAGTCTCTACTATTTTCTCTTGGTAAAGGATGAAATGGTAATTTCTCTAGGAGAAATATTCTAAAACAGAATGAACAAGATCCCAGTCCATTATGTTGGTAAAGGAAGGTTGAGTGCATGTTAGAATCACAAGAAAGTTCTAAAGGAGTTTGGGTTCTATCTTCTTTCAGTCTTATTAGAGACCCCTTAAAAATGCCATTTGATTTTAAGCATTCTGGTGAAATAACCCAAGGAAGGTGGTTCTTTGCAATTCTGTATCTGAAATGTATTCATATGTGAGAATCCAAGAAAAAGTGCTTTTTTGTCATCGAACTATTTATTTTTAAAAATCATTTGTTTTCAACATAAATTACAAAGTTGGGTATTTCATCTTTCTGTGACCAAATTTAATGTTTTTACTGTCAACTAGTGGTAGGTTTGCTGTTTTTTCCTTATTTCTGTACTGGAGGACCAACTGTTTGATCAGTTATTTATTTTTTGGGGGGGTAGGAAGTGGACATACCAAAACCAGACAACAGAAGTGGTCAGGGAGCACTTCTGGTGTTGTTCTGGGGACCTTATGTGGTGGTGCTGGGGATCAAATCCAGGTCACAACTTATCCCCTGCTATTTCTGTGGCCCCAGACCAAATTCTTTATCAGAGTATCAGGAGGACAAAAAGAAGGGGAAAATCACTCTGTTCTTATTTGTATAGGACTGAAATTGTCAACAACCAAATTCCAAGAGACTGACATTTTAGGTTTTTTTAAAATTTTGTTGTTAAACAACAGATCATAGCAAGGATTTAACAGCTTTCTGTTAATCACTCTATCACTGCATCACTGTCTATCACTGTCGTCCCATTGTTCATTGATTTGCTTGAGCGGACGCCAGTAACGTTTCCATGTTCCAGCCCTGAGATTTTAGCAGCCTCTCCTTACTCCTTCCCAATGCTGCTGTATTGGAGGCTCTTTCAGGGTCAAGGGTATGAGGTCCTGTTAATATTCTGTTAATATATAAGTGATTTTAGATTACGATAAATTTGTTTATCTTTTGGGTTATCACCTAGTGGTGTTTAGGGGTCACTCCCAGTAATGTTGGAGTGGGTGAGATTCTGTTGCTAGGGATCTAACACTGACCTCCTGCATGCAAATCATGTGCTCCAGCCCTTTGAACTATTCCCCAGCCCTAAATAGATTTCAGATGAAATCCAGGAAAACAAAGAATGAGTAGTGGAGGTATCTAAAAGGGACTGATATTTTGAGTTTATACTCTAAGTCAAAGCATAAATTGTATACGATTGTATCTGGTGATGTTCAATATATATTTGAAGAATTCATGTTTGAATTTGAAATTACTCATAAACATTTCATATTTGGCCAGGTGCAGGTTTCTAAATATATGCATGTAAGAGAAATACATGTAAGTCCAAATACATTTTGAAAACAGTATTTTCCCCTTCTCTTTTGATGTCAGTGACTGAATCCAGGACCTCAGGTACATGCATACACTCTACCTTACATTAACTTGCATTGGGATATTATAATTTTATTTTTTTTGTTCAGTATTTTAGTATCTTTTGCTTTTATGTATGATCTGTATTTTAAAATGTAACTGTTTGGGGTTGGAGAGATAGTGGAGTGGGTAGGGTATATACCTTGGACATGGCCAATGCAAATTTGATTTCCCAAAACTTCGTATAGTCCCAGGAGAACCGCCGGGAGTATGCCCTTGGATACCCCTGTGTGTGGCCTCAAAATAACACAACTTTTTTGGCTTGATGATGTTCAGGGTCTTGCTTTTGCCTTAGATGCAAACGACCATTGTATCATATATATTAGTCATGTGATTAGGGAATAACAAATAACAATGTGAATGTGTAATTCTTTTTTTTTTTTTTAAACAGCGCAGGAAAGGAGCCATTATTTCAGAAACAAGTTTAGTAGGAGCAACTGCTTCTTCCACATCGATACCAACTCAAAGTGATCCAGAGGTTATCATCATAGGAGCTGGTGTACTTGGTTCTGCTTTGGCAACAGTGCTTTCCAGAGATGGAAGAAAGGTCACAGTAATTGAGAGAGATTTAAAAGAGCCTGACAGGATAGTTGGAGAATTTCTGCAACCAGGTGGTTGTTGCAGCCTTAAAGAACTTGGTCTTGAAGGTAGGTTTAAACTGAGTTTTAGACATTGAGTTATATAAGCAAACACTTTTCATGTTAGACTATCCCTGTGACTGGGAAAAAGGATGTCATGTATTTTCATTTATAAAAGTTACTATTTGATTTATTGGCAAATTTGCATGAAAAATAACAGTAGAAAAAGAGGGTGCTCAAGGCTTATACCTGGTTCTGTGTTGAGGAATCACTCCTGGAAGAGCTCAAGGGGCTCAAAGGGCTATTTGCAGTGCGAGGGATTGAAACTGGTTTGGCCATATACAAGGCAAGTATCTTACTGTGCCGTTGCTCAGGCTCCCTTGTGTGTGTGTGTGTGTGTGTGTGTGTGTGTGTGTGTGTGTGTGTGTGTCACACCCTGCGGTGCTTAGGGACAATTTCTGGCGTGGTACTCAGAGGCTGCTCATGGTGGTGTCTCGGAGACCATGTGTGGTGCCCACGTAGTGTTGGTGACAAGCCCTGGGACTCCCACATACACAGCAGCGCTGTAGCGCATGGAGCTTTCTCTCCAGTCCTAAACCAGTGTTTTTGAAATAAATTCGTTTAGGTAATATTTTTTTGCTCTCTTTTGTGTGACGTGCTGTAGTGGGTACCAGATAATACTTTTGAACAAAACAGACCCAACTGTCTTGTAAAATATTCTAAATCAGTGAATTGAGAAATAGCTTGCATAGTATGTGGGTTGGCAGTATGGTGTAGTAATTTTGGGCATTGATTCTGAAGCTAGATTACCTGTATTTGAATACCAGCTCAGGCACTTAACTATATGATCTTGACTAAGTGACCTTTATTGTGTCAGTTCTTTTGTCTGTGAAATATGCATATTAGTCAGTGTCTTTGCCTCAGAAGTTAGTTATGAGGATTACATAAATTTGTACGCAGGAAGCATTTAGAATAGCATTTAGAATTATGTGAATGTTTGCTCTCCAAGCACTGAAAAGGGTGGAGACCTCTTTAGATGATTGGGGAAAGCAGAGTGACTTGAAATTAAAGTTGGAGAGAGGACTTGGGGCACTGAGTGACATAAATTTGCTTATGCCTCCATAAAGTGAGTTCAGTTACTCCAGATAATGAACATGTTAAGTTCTGATTCCATACATAAATGTGTAAATATGACATTTTTGACACCTTTTAACTACTATTCAAAATTTTACCCTCATACTCAATTCACATTTCTTTTTTTTTTTTTTTCAGTTGGGGGGGGGGTGGTTTGGGCTATACTGGGTGTGGTCTGGGTTTATTCCTAACTCTGTTCAGGTATCTGTCTTGGCGATGCTCAGGGAACTATACGTAGTGTTGGGAATTACACCCGGGGTCTGCCACTTGCAAGGCAAGGGTCTTAACCTCTGTACTGTCTTTAGAGGCTATAGAATTTTTTCATAATGCAGATAGAGAAAAGTCTCACTGATGGTGATTGAGTGAAGGAGGAGAAGTGAAGGGAGTAGCCTTAGGGAATATTCGGAGGAGGTATCAGAGAGATTATCCAGTGGAAAAGCCCCTTCAGTGGAGGCTAGTCTGGTTTCTTTTTGTTGAGGGAGGGAGTGTGAGAGAGGTTAGGGTTTTTGAGTTTACATCCAGCACTGTTCAGGGTGGAATCACTGCTTCTGATTCTGCTCAGTAATAACTCCTGGCAGTGCTTGGGAGACTATATGTGGTGCTGGGGAATCAAAACAAATCAGTGGTGCAGGACAAGTGTCTTAACCCCAGTATTTAATCTAACTTTTTTAGGAGGCATAGCAGTAAATGACACTGCAAGGCATTGTCAAAAGATGCCGGGACCTCCCAGTGGGATGCATAGAGATCAGTGATGGGACTATAGCCAAAAATGGGGACAGAAATGAAGCAGTTATTGAGAAGAAAAAGCTATAATTATTATTATAGTTACTTTAAAACTATAATTTTACATAGACAAATAATTCTGTCTTTTTTAATTTTTAGTGTGATAGTAATAAATACATTTATCAGTTTTTTCAGAACTATTAATTGATATATTTCACATGTTTTCCAATTTTTATTTTTACATTTTATCATTTTCTTTTAAGAGTTCCAGAAATTAGGAAAATAATTTTAAAAAAGGGAAACATGAAAAAAATAAAGATCTTAAAAAAAAAAATCCTAGCACTTCTGGGTTTGAAGAACATTGCATTACAGGTTTGGAGCACTTTAGCTTTCTGGTTAGGCCTGGTACCTCTAAGCTAGGTATTGCTAGCTCTAGGCTCCTGAGCTTCACACCATTACACAATTGAATTGATAAATAAACAATTGTTTTTTTTGATTCATACCTGTGTTCAGTGATCACTCCTGGCAATGCTCAGGGGACAGTATGTGGTCACAGGGATTTAACTCAGGTTCTCTGTGTGTAAGACAAGAACCTTCTCTTCTGTACTATTTCTCTAGCCCTGGTCTGAGTGTTCTTAAAAATTAATGAAATTAATGGGATTGGAGCTAAGTGTTAAGAGTACCTGCCCTGATTCTCTGTAGTCCTGAGTTCAGTCCTAGGATCTGTTAAAAAAAACATTAAAGAAAATAATCTGATATCTGATTACAACAAGTGAAAATATGAGTAAATTAAGTTATGACAATTAAAAATTTATTTCAGGGCTGGAGCGATAGCACAGCAGATAGGGCATTTGCCTTGCACACGGCCGACCCAGGTTTGGTTCCCAGCATTTCGTATGGTCCCCTGAGCACCGCCAGGAGTAATTCCTGAGTGCATGAGCCAGGAGTAACCCCTGTGCATTGCCAGGTGTGACCCAAAAAAAAAAAAGTTTATTTCACTGCAGATAAAAGTTTTAAGATGAGTAAATCAATTCTATGTACTAGTATAGCACAGCGGGTAGAGCGTTTGCCTTGCATGTGGCTCACCCAGGTTCGATTCCTCAGTCCCTCTCAGAGAGCCTGGCAAGCCACCGAGAGTATCCCGCCCACATGGCAGAGCCTGGCAAGCTCCTCGTGACGTATTCAATATGCCAAAAACAGTAACAAAAACTCTCACAATGGAGACATTACTGGTGCCCACTTGAGCAAATCTATGAACAATGGGAGAACAGTGCTACAGTGCTATGGTATACAAAACATACATATGTAGTATAAAGGCTTATTGAAAGTATATCAAATATCAAATGAGGAGACTAAATCAGAATCAATAAATATGGGGAATCATAAATGAATAAGGAAGCATGAATAACTGATCATCTTGAGAATAAAAAATTATTGATCATTTAATTTATGAAAGTAGCTGTAAAATTCTTAATGAAATATGCAGGAGATTCTTGTGATGTGAAAGCATTTTATGAAGAAGGAAAAGTAGGAACATTGCAAAAGAAAGTGGGCAGAGAACTTGGAAAAAATGTTCATATTTACATCCAAATTTTTTCAAATTGGTTACCTCAGTTTTAGATCATTGATATTTTAAAAATTAAACATTTTCCCTGATGTGCTTAATATTTCTTTATTAACAATGTGAATTATTTATATACTTTCACCCTTTTTTTAGGATTTTAGTGTATTGGATATAGACTTTAATGAGTAAGTTTTATATACAAATGTTAATATTTTGTGTTGTACAAGTTTCTAAGACTCTTAACTTTAAGATTTCTGAGATGGGGCTGGAGAGATAGTACAGCAGGTAAGGTACTTGCCGTGCATGTAGCCAGCCCAGGTTCAACTCCCCAATACCCCATATGGTCTTCTGAGTCTGCCAGGAGTGATGCCTGAGCACTTCTGGGTGTGACCCTACAAAAACAAAAAGAAAAACAGTAACAACAATAAACAACAAAAGATTTCTGAAATAGTTGTTTTAGCATTCAGTTTTTCAAATGCTAACACAAATTTATGAAGGTTTAGTTTATTTTCGAGGTTGCCGTCATGTGCCTAGATAAGTAAGCCTATTAACATGGTTTTCTTTTTCAAACCAAATTGTTTTCAGGTGCAGTGGAAGGTATTGATGCTCATACCATAAATGGCTATATACTGCATGACCGGGACAGCAAGTCAGAGGTTCAGATTTCTTACCCTCTGTCAGAAAACCAACAAGTGCAGAGCGGAAGAGCTTTCCATCATGGGAGATTCATCATGAGTCTCCGCAAAGCTGCTATGGCAGAGCCCAAGTAAGACTACAGCTTCAAATTTATAATGTTAAACACTTTTAAACCTTTTCTTTGTATACTTTTGTAAATATCATTTATTTGGGTATGGACTAGAATATAAGTGCTACGCTAAAACCATAAGCTAGAAGAATGTTTGATCTTCAGTGTCTTTATTAGAATTTTTTCTTTGGGGCAGGAGAGCCAGTGGGCCAAGCACATGCTTTGCATGTAGTAGCCTGGGTTGGATTCCTGGCACTGCTGTGCCCTGGGCATGTAACTGAGAGTGGCCTCTGAGCATCGTTGGATGGGTGTAGCCACCCCCCACCCCTACATAGAGGATATTTTTCTTTGAAAAAAGGAGATAGAACTGTTTTTTGATAGAACTGTTGAGAATCATTCTTTAAATAAGGATGCATGATTTTTATGCAGGTGAAATTTAGAAGATAGGATTGTTGTAAGCTCATGTATGCCCATTAGGGAGTGGGGGTTTGTGATTATATTTTCTGTTAACAGTCAGGACAGAGGACTTCAAGGGAAAAATCTCTGGTCCTGTTCTATTAAGAACCTAGCTTGACAGGACTGGTTGCTTCTCTTAATTATTAACATACAGTTGACTCTAGCCTTCTTACACTTGGTTAACGTTGAAGAAGTTTTAGGCGTAAGAATCCTTATGTTATTGACTAAAGCCTAAGTGTTGACAAAGCAAGTGGAAAGTAGGCTTATCCTTAGAATGAAAATAATTTGGTAGTTTTGGAGTGGATTATGTTTGTTGTAGTGGAAAAATACTCCAGAATGTAAGAAAGGTTGTCAAAATTATCCTTTGACAAAATGTAATTTTCCATAATCTAGTGGATAATTCTTCATCTTACTTTTGGGTTTCCAACTGTATATAAATTTGGGTATGTAAGTTTTATCTGCATTTTTGTAGTTTAGTGGAATAAATCTGGTGTTTGCAAAAATACCTAAATTTGCTAGTAATGTGTACTAAGTTTTAAGAAACTACCACACATAATTCTAACACATTAATGTTTTTCATTTTCTGTCATCCTAGACCATTTCCCCATGTTCATGCATGTAGGTAAACTAGATAAGGAATAAGGATTTATTTTTCTTATACAGGTCACATATGCTACTAGAGAATTTATTTCTGTTTATCTTCTAGTGCAAACTTTATTGAGGGCATTGTGCTACAATTATTAGAAGAAGATGATGTTGTTATTGGAGTTCAATATAAGGATAAGGAAACTGGAGACCTCAAGGTGAGATATATCAAATATTCTTACTAAGGTTTTTCCCCTTATTTTTGTTCTACTAACAAAATGTGCTGACCAGTTAGTTATTCATCTTAAGTCCCTTCAACAGGATGGATTTCAGATTGCAACACATTGCTCCTTAAAGCACCTTAGAATGATGTACAAGTAACTTTGTAAAGAAAGCATTATATCAGTATTAAAAACTGTTGATACAGCACTAGCAGAGAAGCAAAAGGGAATTTAGAAGGTGAAAAATGGAAAAACAAATTGCACCACAGTTTAAGGCAAATCACGCCGAACTTATTTTAGCTAATCTGAGTCCACTTCTCATCTAGCAGATTTCATCTAATAAAACTTGAGTACTTGTTGATGTTCGAGGAGAAATGCCAAGGAATTTGAGAGAATACATTGCTGAAATATAAATAATTTAATAGAAAAGAAATTATTAATAAGTGAGGCTTCTGTCCTCACAAGATGAGTTGTAAGGGATATATTTAAGTGGAGATGGCCTAATGGGCAGGAGTGCATGCTGTACGTGCAGGAATCCTAGGTTTGATCTTTGTCATTATAGTTCACCATGGTCCCCGAGAACTCCCAGTTGTGTCCCCTCAAACTGTCCCCTCAAACTCTTAAAGAGTTCATTTATTTTTATTGTTTTGGCTTTTTGGGTTACTCCTGGCTCTGCACTCAGGAGTTACTCCTGGCAGTGCTCAGGGGATTATATGGGATGCCGGGGATCGAACCCAGGTTGGCTGTGTGCAAGGCAAATGCCCTCCCCACTGGACTATCGCTCTGGCCCCTCTTAAAGAGTTTAAATCAGAAAAGTAAGAGAAAATAGCGTCCAGGGGTCAGAGAGATAGTACAAGGTGGTTAAGGCAAACTTAGGACATTACTGACATGTGGTTCTATTACTGGGATCATATATGGTTCCCTGAGTACCTCCAGGAATTATCCCTGAGTGTAGAGCCAGAAGTAAGTTTTCAGCACAGTTGATTGAAACACCAACAAAACCCCCAAAAATTAAATTTTAAAAAGCTTACAGTATATGCTTGTGTTAATTTTATAAAAGAACATAAAAAATCAGAGACTACATTTGTTGATTCTGGGCTACTTTATAGTTCATTACTTTCTAGAAGGAACTGGAGCGATAGCACAGCGGTAGGGCATTTGCCTTGCACGCAGCCAACATGGCTGACCCAAGTTCGATTCCTCCACCCCTCTCGGAGAGCCCGGCAAGCTACTGAGAGTATCTCGCCCGCACAGCAGAGTCTGGCAAGCTACCCGTGATGTATTCAATATGCCAAACACAGCAACAACAAAAGTCTCCAATGGAGATGTTACTGGGCCCGTTCAAGCAAATCGAAGACCAACGGGAGGACAGTGACAGTGACAGTGACTTTCTAGAGACTGTTAGGGGCTGTTGTGAGGTAATACTGTGTATTTTAACCATTTAGCTGAGTAGTCTTTATTTCTATTGCAGGAACTCCATGCTCCACTGATTGTTGTTGCAGATGGACTTTTTTCCAAGTTCAGGAAAAACTTGATTTCCAATAAAGTATCTGTTTCATCTCATTTTGTTGGCTTTCTTATGAAGGTACTATAGGAATGTAATCATAGAAAAAATAAACAGATTGAAATTTGAAAATTATTAAAAATATTTTGTATATATTTTTTTCTAGAATGCACCACAGTTTAAAGCAAATCATGCCGAACTTATTTTAGCTAATCCGAGTCCAGTTCTCATCTATCAGATTTCATCTAATGAAACTCGAGTACTCGTTGATGTTCGAGGAGAAATGCCAAGGAATTTGAGAGAGTACATGGCTGAAAAAATTCACCCACAATTACCTGGTAAGAAATTGGATCTCACTGGCATTGTAATCTACATTCTGAAAACAAACCTCACAAAAGGCTCTGTATCTCCGTTTCACTGTCTAAACTGTCTAAAATAGGCTAAAGATGAGGAAGGCAGGTGAAGAATGCGCCTAGTTGATCAGATAATAATCTGATAGATGAGCTAATTCAACCATTTCTTTTATAGATGAAGGAGCTGACGTTCAGAAAGGTAGAGCTACCTACATCTTTCTTTTTTCTACTATATGCTCTCATGCTCTTTGTGAATTGGTAGTGGCAGTACATTCCATCTGTGATTATCAGAAAATGATGGTAAATATAATTATTTACCATAATAAGTCAAGTATCAAATATGATACCCGTTAGTTCACATTTGGAGGAGAGGGGGGTGGTTTTCCTCCCTGTCTCATCCCATTTGAATTTGCTTCACTTTTACTCTAGTTTTTTATTTTAATTCAGTTGTATGTATATTTATTTTGTTTTATATTTTTTATACTTTATATTTATGTATATGTTTTTTATATTCCTTAGCATGAATAAGTGGGTGACTAATGATTGGTTTTGTTAGTAAAATAATTAGCACAAGGGATATATATGATAAAAATAACTTGTGTAGTAGATATATGTTTATAACACATGATAAGAACATGTTATAAGATAGGAACATGTGATAATTTGAAACTGAGACGTTTTAAGCCTTTTATTTGGTTGGATGGGGTTATTGCAGATCATCTGAAAGAACCTTTCCTGGAAGCCATTCAGAATTCTCGTCTGAGGTCTATGCCAGCAAGCTTCCTTCCTTCTTCACCAGTAAACAAACGAGGTATGATTTTATTCAACTGATTTAATGATTTAATGGGGGGCTCTGTGGGGGGCTAGAGAGAGAGTATATAGGGATTAAGGCACTTGACCTACATTGATTGACCCTGGTTGGGTCCCTGGAACCGCATATAGTTCTCCCAGCACTCCCAGGAGTGATTCCTGAGCAAAGAGCCAGAAGTAAGCCTTAGCACAGCCAGATGTGACCTTGACCTTCCCCTTTCCAGATATTACAAATATCAAATTCAACATTCCAGATAGCATAACTGTAATTAAATTTATATTGGTGGGATAGTGTGGGACAGAGAATTAATTACTTACTGTGTATAGACATAGTTTCAGAGCATTGTTAATAATTGCCGTAATAAAAACCCACTCAAGGAATTATACAGTCACTATGAAGGGCATGTATATCAGGCAAAAGAGGGGCCTTGTGAATTTGGATTGTAATTAGAGTGGACATAGCATGGGAAATAAAGCTGGAGCAGGGCATGGAGACAGAGTGGGGGATTCTTTAAGTGCTCAGAGAGATCCCATCATTATCCCTGGGACTGATGAGTAGGTGAAACAACATTTGCATAAGGCTGTGAAAACACTGGGAAACAGGCGCTTTTCAGTCAGCTGAAATAGTTTACTGTGGCTGGAGCATAGAATGGGTATGACAATGGCAGGAATGTAAGCTATTAAAGTTTAGTTTTAGTCTTATAAACAATGAAAATCATTAAAGAGGCTTTGCTGAGAAAAAAATTTACAAATTATTTAACTCATTCGAAGTGTATAATTTACACTTTGGTATATTAGACATAAGCAACTGTCACTAACTACATTTTGGGATATTTTCATTACTCCATAAAGAAATCCCGCACCCTTTAGCAGTCACTACCTTGTTTCTTACAACTTCTAACCCCACACAGCTCTTTGCTTTGTGTCTTTAGAGTTGTTTATTCTGGACATTTTCTATAAATCATATAATACATGGTCTGTTGTAACTGGCTTAAGGTTTATCTGAGTAGTAGTATGCATCAGTCTTCCATTTGCTGTTTTGACCAAATATTTCAGTTGTCTTATATTTTGATCCAGTTGACAGACATTTGGTGTTTTTTGTTGTTACAAACAACGCTACTATGAACATTCTTATGAGTTTTCATCTGGATATTTTCATTTTCTCTTGGGTGAATACTTAGGATTAGAATTGCTAGGTAATAAAGGTCAGAGAGATAGTATAGTGGGTAGGATGCTTGCCTTGCTTGTGGCCAGCTCGGTTAAATCCCTAGTATCCCATATAGTCCCCTGAGCACCCCCAGGAATAATTGCTGATCCAGAACAAGGAATAACTCCTGAGCACCTCTGGGGGAGGAGGGGAGAGAAAGAGAGAGGAGAGGAGAGAGAGAGAGGAGAGAGATGAGAGAAAAGAGAGGAGAGAGGAGAAAGAGAGAGATTATTGGATAATAAAATCTCTTACCTTCTGAGGAACTGCCAAACATATTTTCTAAAGTACCTGTGTCATTTTACCATTTCTCTAAACTGTGTCCAAGGATTCCAGTTTTCCTGATATCAGTGAGAACATTTTTTATTATTGGTCTTTTTGCTCAGAGCCATCGTAGTAAATGTGAGGGGATGGCTCATTGTGGTTTTGATTTCTGTAATGGTTAGTAAGGGTGCTGATCAGCTTTTCAAATACTTTTCAGCCATTTCTGTATCTTCAGAGAAATATCTTTAGACTTTGTACATTTTGGGGGGGAGGGGTTGGGCAGTGCTTGGGGTTGTTTGGGAGTTGGTACTTAGGGATTGCTCCCATGAGGGGATGATGCAGTACTTGGGATTAAACTTGGGTTGGTGACACAAGCAGATGACCTTAATTCCCCCGGGACTGTCTCTTCAACCCAACTTTACATTTTTTAATTGGCAACATTTTTCTTTCTTGTTTGTTTTAGTTTTTGGGCCACAGGAGTGTTCAGGGATTACTCCTGGCTCTGCACTCAGGAATTACTTCTGGCGGGCTCAGGGGGATTTTATGAGATACTGGGGATCAAACCCAGTTAGCTGTATGCAAGGCAAATGCCCTATTCACTGTACTATTGCTTTAGCTCCTAATTGGGTAAATTAAAGAAAAAAAAGATTGCTGCATTCTGAAAGTTCTTTATATTTCCAGATAAAAGTATTCTTATCAGATACAGGTTTTGTAAATTTTTTCCCTATACTTTGCATTATCTTCTTTACCTTGATGGTGCCCACCGACATTCTCAATTTCTATAAAGTTCATCTTTTGTGATTTTGTACATGTCTATAATGATTTGCCTTGACCTGTGTTCATGAAAATGTACTCATATCTTCTTTGAAGATGATTATAGTTTGAATTATTTCTTTGAGGTGTCTTCATTTTTGAGTTAAATTTTAAAATTTTATGTGTGGTATGATTAAAGGAGTTCAGTTTCATTTGTTTGTATGTTTATATCCACGACACTGGAAATAAAGGAGTAAAGAGTAACTCTTTAGGGAAGTGTGGCAAGAGGGGCTAGATTCACTTTTGGACATACTGGGTAAGTCCAAGTACTGGTCAGCCATTTGAGTGAAGATGTGGATTGAAATGCAGTGTGAAAGTTTGAAGAGAAATCTGAATGGCAGTTGATGTGCTCTGAATATATGCATCTTGAAGCTTCTTTGTGAGAAAGCATGCATAGTAAACTGCCAATCAGAATGCAAAGCAGAATGAACCAAATACAAATTGATACAAACAACATTCTGTGAAAACACATATTAATTGGTAGTATTAAGAAGTCTTGTGGCTAGAGCAATAGTACATACAGCAGGTAGGGCATTTGGCTTGCACACGGCCGACCCGGGGTTCAATTCCCAGCATCCCATATGATCCGCTGAGCACCGCCAGGAGTGATTCCTGAGTGCAGAGCCAGGAGTAAACCCTGTGCATTGCCAGGTGTGACCCAAAAAGAAAAAAAAAAAAGCAGGTGGCCATATTTTATGTTTTTCTTTCTTTAAAGTGAGGTTATTGGAGTTATGCATTTGGGGTCAGAGAGATTGTATAGCCTGTAAGTTGCTTGCCTTATCTGTGGTTGATTGGGGTTCTATGCCTAGCACCTATTATGGTTTCCTGAGCCCTGAGATGAGTGATCCCTTAGCACAGAACGAAGAATCAGCCCTGAGCTCAGCCAGGTGTGTCCCCAAAATCAAAATCAAAACAAAAAAAGGAGAGTAATGATTAAAAGGTTGGCATAACATTTAGAAACTCCCTTTCATAAATTGTATTATATTAAATAATTTCATTTTTATTTTCTATAAACAAGAATTTTAAATGTGGTATATTTTTATATTGCATAAAAATTGTGTCATTCATTCTGCTACTTTAACACTTTCATTCTGGGTATGTATTTCTCATAGGTAGAAATAATAAGTACTTAGTTTAAATTTTACTCACATTATAGGACATTAACCAGGCTGATAACAGTCTCAGAATCTGTGCTGTCTGCTTCTGTCATTGGATTCCAGACGCTAATTTCCAGATTGAGTCTATTAAGTTGTACTCGCTTTAGTTTGCTTCTGAGTAGGGAATAGATGCCTACTGGCCTCCAAATAGAATGACTTTGTGGCTGGGTATATGCCTCCCTGTGCTGCCTTCTTCCCCTTAGAGCTGCAGATTTGTTGGCAGCAAACACTGCTAAGAAGTGGTCTTTAATTCTACCTTGTAGAAGACTTGTTTCTTATACCTGGAGACCTGCAGATATTTTTTTTTTCCTCCAGTGAATCCTTGTAAATTTCTGACATTCCTTCACTTGACCATAGATTCATACGTTGAGATTGATGAGGGCAGAGAGCATGCTTTTGTTCTTACAGAGAATCTGCCCAGTATCTATATATTATTTATATGCTAGGAAGCCAATTCACTTTTTTGTGTCAAATTTTAGTCACGATTTGTTTCCTTGTATTTTCAAATTTTTATTGATCAGCTCACATTTATAAAGTTGATAAGTTAATGGTGTCTTAAATTGGTGTCAAGGCATATTCCTGAGTATCCTGATCTAAGTTCTCTCTCTTTATAGGTGTTCTTCTTTTGGGAGACGCATATAATATGAGGCATCCTCTCACCGGGGGAGGAATGACTGTCATTTTAAAAGATATAAAATTATGGAGAAAATTGCTAAAGGGTATTCCTGACCTTTATGATGATGCAGCGGTTTTCCAGGTAAGATCATAAATTCTTTAACAAAATTAAGTGAAACTAATTCCTTTCTGGGTATTAGAGGAATGTGGTTTTGATTAGGGAAATCTGTACTTCAGAGCCCAATCCTTAGTAATGATTCTTAGGCAGTCTTGTTCAGGCATGAAGAACCTGACATGCAACCTATGAGTATTACGAGTTTCTTAATTTCTGTATCTGAATATTATATGACATTGGATTGCACAGGCATCTTGCATGGTGATAGAGGATTTTAGCTTCCAAGTCACATGGAGAGGAGAATCAGGGAGAGGGAGAGACAGAAATCAGACATAATTAAGAGTCAGTCATCAGGATGGAAGGAATCTCCATCTGAAGGGATGGTGTTGGAGTTTTTCCCTATTTCATAACATATAATAAGTGACCTTTTTATTTATTAGGCCAAAAAATCATTCTACTGGACAAGAAAAACATCCCATTCTTTTGTTGTGAATGTTCTTGCACAAGCTCTTTATGAATTATTTTCTGCCTCAGATGGTAAGTATACATAATTTTTAATGAACTTTTAGCATAGGATGGGTGATCTTATAGTGGTCAGGCCAGATATAGTAGTGTTTCCTGAATTTCCTGAATCCTGAGTTGTAGTCTTTAATCCCATCCTTGAGCAGGACTCCTAGCTTCTAATAATCATGTAACCACTGCTTTGTGTGGAAGGCTTTTGTATTTCTTTAGCAACCTTAAATAGACCCTTGTCTAAATCCGACCATGTTGCAAAATGCGTGGTTTTAATTAGTTTTTTTTTCCGACCATGAATTAAAAAACATTATAATTAGTATTTTTCTTCTTGAACAGTAGTTTTATTTGATTTTCAAATACTTAATAAAATGAATATGCGCTTCATATCATCTAGAATTTTTTTGACTGTATGGGATGCCGGGGATGAACCCAGGTTCCAGCTCCCATAGCCACTAGGTTAAAAAGGACGTTAAAATGGACAAATAGTAGAAGGCATTCACTTTTTACACATTTGATATTCCTTTAATTTTGCTTTCTATTATAGAGACGTGGTGGTGAATCTTATGTCATGGAAAGTATTAACAGAAGCAGTGTTAGAATTGGTGGAAAGGGCAGCAGTGCCACTTCCCAAATGCATCTGTTTACAAAAGAAACTAGACCTTTTATCTTTAGGATTTCAAAATAAATATAACTTAGAATCCTGTTTACTTCAGGTTATTTACAACAGAATTATTTCTATGATCTGGCTGATGCTCTAGCTATCTAGGTCCATGCTTTGGTGATTGCAACAGGTAGTAGAGTACAACTGTCTTCTGAGACTCTATATCTGTAGCATTCTAAAAAGAAAAACAACTTATTGGTTGTTATTTGCCAGAAAGATCTCTTGCTAATTGATGTGGAAGTTAAAATGGCTGGTTGGTTAAGTAAAAAGTAAGAATAAATAGGTTTTTTTTTAAATTTTTGCTTTTTGGGTCACTCCCGGTGATGCACAAGCATTACTCCTGGCTCATGCACATTCCTGACGGTGCTCGGGGGACCATATGGGATGCTGGGAATCAAACCCGGGTTGGCCACATGCAAGGGAAACACCCTACTCGCTGTGCTATTGCTCCAGCCCCTAAATAGGGTTTTTTTTAAAGTTCTTGAATTTCTTATGCTATGAATTTGAACTGCCAGAAGAACAAATACAAGAGAGGATATGAAATAGTAGAAGAGAGTAAGAGCTTTTTTTGAGTAAAGTTTACTTGTATCCTTTTTTATATATTGTAAAGAAAATTCTAGGCCTACCTAAAAAACAAAGCAAAACCCACCCAAAACACAACACTGATTCTAAGGTATTCAAAAAAGTACTGATTTTACTATACTGTAAAAGTTTAATGAGTTCTTTGGAAAATATAAAGAAGATAGCAGGTATGTTCTTAAATATTTAATAGTTATTGCTATTATAGCAATCTATTGCGCAGAGATTAGGATAAGATAATTTGTGTCATTTATTGGATTTACAACATATTCAAGAAGTAAGTTTTCAGACCTACATTTTTGGTAATTGTAACCATTTACTAACGGAGAAAAGTTTATTTGTATTTATATTAACTTCCTAATAGAAATGTGGGAATATGTTGAGAGTAACTAAAACAATTTTTTTTTTTAAAAGATAAACTACATCAACTAAGAAAAGCCTGTTTTCATTATTTCAAGCTTGGTGGAGGATGTATTTCAGGTCCTGTTGGGCTGCTTTCTGTGTAAGTTTTTAAAAAATGTTTGTTTTGAGTCAGACTTGCCAGTGCTCTGGGGCCACTTGGTGACCAAAGGGTGCCGAGATTCAAACATGGAGCTGCTGCAGGCAAACATGTGCCCCAGCCTAGTGCATTATCTCCCTGGTCTGCAGAGAGGAATTATATTCCAGATTATTTTAGGATCCAATTCATAAATTACTGAACACCATCTTTTTGTATATTCTATTATTTATTAATATTCCAACGAGGAGGTAGAAACAAGCAAAAAGGCATATGTAGTCCTGTGGTTTTTTTCATTTGGGAATTAGCAGTGATTAGAAGTTGGTGGTAGGTGAGGCTAAAATCCTTGATTAAAGTAGACGATTTATGGGGGCCCACACCTGGTGGTGGTTGGTTTTCATGGGCTCCTTCCTCCCTGTCCATTGCCAAAAGTTGTTTCCATCATTGTTCAGGGTACTACCCAGACCTCCCATATGCGTGCGTACTAACCCTTGTAGCTGTCTCCCTAGCTCCAAAATAGAAGATTGTTTTTTCGCTGTGGGTATGATATGGTTTGATCTGTGGGGGTCATGGATAATAGGAAAGAAATACTTGTTCAGGTACTCGGGAAATTTGGTTATGTTCTTGATATTGCAAACATAAGTAGAATTATTCTTGAAAAATTTGAAATGAAATTCTTTTCAAGTTTTTTTCTCTTTTACTTACAATCTGACCATATGGTTGACCATTTGAAAAACTTGAATTCCCAGTAGATGAGGCCATCCAAGTACTGCACACCGGAAATCTCAAGATTGGTGAAAATAGCTCAAAATAGTCAATTCATGCAGAAGAGACTTAGATAGAGGAATTTTGGCTTCTTTGAAGGGTATATTCTATGTAGTTTCTTGTATATTTTGTTTTTAATTTGTCCCTGTTATCAGATTTAGGAGGCAAACACAAGATTGTAGAATGTATGTTTAACTTTGTAGATGATATATAACTGGAACTTTTTATTTTAATTTATGGCTCATACTGTATATTTATTTTTTTCTATTACAGACTGTCTCCTAACCCTCTAGTTCTAATTGGACACTTCTTTGCTGTATCATTTTATGCCACATATTTTTGCTTTAAATCAGAACCTTGGATTACAAAGCCCCGGGCCATTTTCAGTAGCGGTGCTGTATTGTACAGAGCATGTTCTGTAATATTTCCTCTATTTTACTCAGAAGTGAAGCACTTGGTTCACTAAACGGAAAGGGGAACCATTTGTGAATGAAGAACATACCAAGTCCTATGGGACTTTTGGATGAGGATGTATATAACATAGTACTATGCCACTTTTAACGTGGAAACCCTTGGACCAAGATTGGGATTAATTTGTTTTTCAAGTTATTGTAAATAAATGTGTAAATATATACTTTAACTTGCAATTAAAAATGAAGGCCAAGATAAGATACTTAAATGATTGTCACCATGAATTAGTGCGTGCACAGGAAATCCAGTTTATCTTTTGAATTCAGTGTTTGGGGTGAGTCATTGTGGAACAAGCAAATAAAATGAACAAATTCTCAACTTTTTCTTTTTTCCTTGTGGTCTTTTTTACGTTGTTCCATGGTAGTGGAAAAGAAAACCAAATGGAAAGAATAATGTGGAGGGAAACATCTTATGATTTGGACAAAATTGTGTATGATATTGAGGAGGTTATTATTGAGTTTGAAAGAAAACTGTCATTCTATTCCTGGACCTTATTTTCCTTATTTATCCATAATGGGCAAGATATTTCTTCTAAGTTATCTCTGCAAATACATTTATACAGAAAGTAAGCAAAGGCTTAACGCTCTACTGTATAATACTGATAAATCAGGCTAATTTTAAGAAGCACTGAAAAATCAAATAAAAACCTGTAATATATCTCTTAAAATGAGATGGAATGTACTTTTTATATTCAATTGAAGGAATTATAGACACTCAGAAGAGGATTATGAGATTTTAATCTCATTTTAATAAAACCCTACTAAATATGACAAAGTAAATTTCTCCATGAAGGAATAGTGAGACCCTGAAATCATAAGTATTCACTTCAGATTCCTAATGATTTAGGGATAAAACTCAGGCTTTTATTGTAACATTTCTTATGGTGCTGAGAGGACCATGTGGTGCTGGGGACTGAACGCAGTACTTAATGTATGCAAAAATTGTGCTCTAGACTTTTGAGCTCAGTTGAGTAGAATTTTCAGGATCTAGTCACCAGTTGAAATAGTTACATAGGCATGTTGCTTTAATTTAGCACAGTAGATGGTAGACTCATTTCTTGGTTTTATGACGAGTCCCCTTTAAATTTATCCCATGCTTTCATTTTCTGGTTACAAACTCAGTTTCTTAGATCTGGCCTTTATCAGCCAGCTTTTAGATTAGGCTGGTAGTATTCTTGTCTTGCACATGGTTCAATCCCTGACACCCCATGTGATCCCCAAGGCCAACCAGAAGTGGTCTCTGAGCCTTGCTAGATTTGGATGAAACCAAAACCAAAAAACCAGCCAGTTCGCTGGGGCAGTGGAGCTGGGAATTGGTGTGTTTCCAAAGAACTAAAGCTTTTTACCTCATGCAGTTAATTTCCTGATCCAAATGGGAAGCAGCAAGCTCTTTCTGAGATATGCATGTAGAATGGACCAAGGTAGCCTGAACTTACTTGGATAAGCCTCTTGGTGTCTGAGACTTCCAAGTTAGGGTGCAAGTCCTTTAAAATTCTACACTGGGTGACCCTGGAGAGAGCTCAGTAATGGAGCCAGTCACAGGCAATCACTGCTCATGATTCCCGTGTCATAACTACAATGTAGAAGCATCAAGACTAAGTCTGCAAAGCACTGCAAAAGTGTGTCACAGTCCTGGGTCATGCCACGACTCTGGGAAGGGATGGGGAAAATCCCATACTGGGTTGTAAGGTTTTGCTGCCCAAACCTTCAAAATCCTTTCTAGGGCTGGGCATGTGCTTTGCCTGCAGGAGTCCACTTTGTCCCCTGAGCCTGTACAAGCACAATCAGGAGAGGATTGAGTGCTGCCACATGTGACCTCCAAGCCTTACGCTATCCTTTCTGTTATGAGGATGAATCAAAGTCTATAAGGTAATTTTCTTTCAGTAGTTGAGAATTTGAGATTTTCTGACAAGAATAAATTCAGAAAATGGAAAAGAACCTGGGACATCAGTTAGTCTTTAATTTATGAGTTTGATGCCTTCAGGGCTGGTCTGGGACAAAGTGGAAGAAACTAGTAGAAAAATGAATGGCTCAAACTGTGCCTTTCAAGTACAAATCAATGAAGCTGCATTGACTTGCTAAATCAGGCAAGCATGTTTAGATTCTGGTCTAAACATTTTTTGGTTTGCCACTCTAGGGAACAGAACTAGATCTATAGTCAAACGCTTTCTTGCTTCAAGTTGCCACAATAATGTCAGTTCCCCTTTCAGTTACCGTCACGTCCAAGTGATTCACAATTTTGGAGTGAAAAGCTACTGATTACTAACTAATGATGATTAAGCTATTCTGAGGACTTGGAGTGGGGCTTGACTTGTGAAAGGAAGAAATGAGTAAAATGAGTAAAAAAAGTCAGGGTGTTTCCAAACCCCATGTTCAGAAGCCCTCAGAATGCCTGGGATTAGAGAAGTCCGTGAGCCTCAGACACCAACAAGCTTCTGTGGTCTATGGTCCGTGGCTGTGTTCTACACATTTAACCTCCTGTCAGTCTGTTGTGGGTGTGACTGTTGCTTTTCCATATAAAATGTTTTGCAGGGTCAATACAGATTTTGAATCACAAGCAAGACAACTTTGGTACTGTCAATACTATTTTACTGAAAATCTGGAATTGCACAAATAGTTCTTTAGAACATAAAACTAAATGGATTTGTACATAACAAGTACATTCAGCATTTATAAGAGGGAGTACAAAAATGTATTCTGGTTCTACATGATATAAATTGCATATAATACCATGATTTAAACAATAATTAGTGCAGTGAGATACGTCTTCCTCAGAATGTCTGATGGTTCAGTGTGGTTGGTTACATGAGCAGTTGTTTTTTTTTTCATTTCTTAATTCATTTTCGTGATGGTGGGAAGGTTTTAAGGACAGTCATTTCACTGAAGAAGTTAAAGTTACAGGACTGTTCTGAACTCATCAAAGATGAAGTTAGGCACGTGTGCTTCAGCAACCTGAAAAATTTCAATTACTTCATGAGTCACAGTATAATCACTGAGAATAAAATAAATATTTCCTGTATGAAAATAAAAGAAATGAGAATAAGGTTTTTTTTTGGAAAGAGGGGGACTCATATGCAGTGCTGAGGATTTGAGTTGGGCCAGCTTACATATAGGTCAAGCACCTTAGAACCTGTATTAGCTCTCTGGCCCCCTTAATAATACCTTTAGTCTCTTCACAACAAGGGCACTGGTTCTGTTCTTATCTCAGGCTTACCCTCCGGGGAAGCTTGGTGTACCGGACATAATCCTCCAGGAACAGAAGAGCACCCACTACATCTGCAGGCATTTCAGGGATCTTCTGGCTGTTAACAGAGAATGGTGTGAACCCATTAATTGAGCTGACCTCCAGGCAAGATACCAGAAGACTAAGTGCAGTCAAAGAAACAAATCATACCATCTGCTTGCATCCTACCAAGTCACAGCCTGGCTGGCTGATCTTCAGGACACAGCTTAGAGGGCAAGACTCCCGGCTTCCCTCTGGTTTCTTGGGCTCCTGCTGCCTCCATGACTCACACCTCCATGTCTGCCCACCTCTCAGCCCTTTCATGATTCATCAACTGGACCGGTCCCTAAACGAGGTCCAAATGTAACCACCCCACCTGCAATATATTTGATCTACACTCTTTTTGGTTGTTGCTGCTTTGCTGGGGAACTGTGTGTATGTATGTGTGTGTGTGTGTGTGTGTGTGTGTGTGTGTGTGTGTAAGGTACCTAAAGATGGGAATCTAACCCATGGGGACTGTGTGTGATCTAACCCCTGGGAAACTGTGTGTGTGTGGGTGCGCGCGTGCTGGCAATGCTGGGGATCTAACCCATGGCCTCCCACATACATCATGCTCTTCACTGGAGCCACATAACCCAGTCCCATACTTTACACTTCTTTTAAGGTGAATGTCTAAATATATATATATATATTTTTTTTTTTTTTTCTTTTTTCTTTTCCAAGTTCCTCCTCTAAGAATTCTTCTCTGACTGCTCCGGAAAGATGGTCTTTACTGAGGATCCTGTTAGCCTCAGCACCTTCTCCAGGCCTCTTAAAATTTTCAGTTGTTTGTGTGCTGGCTTTCTTGACAGCCTGGCCACCTTGTTTCCAGCAGTGCTAGGTGTGGTGCTTTCTTCAAAACCAAAACCAAAACCAAAACCAAAACCAAAACCAAAACCAAAACCCTGCATTTTGAAGCAAGTCTTAGAAAATCAAGCAGTATTTGTGGTTCACTCTATTAACCACCATGAGGAAGCACCTATCTGATGATGTCATGGGGGAAAAAGACAGTTGAGAAAGCATGCCCCACTTTCAGGAGCCATGCATGCATGAAGGCTGCCCAGAGCCCAGGACAGCCACTGTGGCGGCTGACCCACTCCCCGGAGGCACATCATCTTTCCACCTGGAATCTTGGAACAGGTCTGGCAGTTATGTATTCAGAGAGACCTGAAAAAATGATGTGTCCTGGAGAGGTTGGTGAATGGCCAATAGCCCCAGGTGTCCAGGTTGCCTGGAACAGCCCTGAACAGGAGTAGACAGGCGGGGCTGAGGGATGCTCGGAGGAGGCGTGCGTTGTCTGTGGACTTCCAAAGGCCTGGCAGCGACTCGGGGAGCGGAGGTGGAACGCTGCCCTGGCATGTAGCAAACACTGCCTGCCTGCTGGGGAGCTAGCTGGCAGAGACCCAGGACTCCCTGCCAGGGCCCTGCACTGCTTCACGTTTCAGGGGCAGGCACAGCTCGCCTGCTGTCGTTGCAGTGCCCTGGGAAGCCTCCGGATCAGGCTATATGTTATGTGGGTTATGTGGGTCAAAAGGGACCAAGTGGTGGGACTACGACGAGGATGATGGCTCAAGTGGGAGAGTGAAGGCCTAGCGTCTGTGAGGTCTTGAGTTTGTTATTTTCTGGTGGGGGTACACCTGGCAGTGCTCAGGGATGACTCCTGCTGGTGCTTGGGTGTCGGGAATCATGCCCCAGTGAGGCTTTGAGCTTGATCCCTGGATGGGGCCCCTGAGGCACGGAACTGTGGCTCTAGGTCCCCCATATCAGTAGGGGCAGCCCCTGACAAAACACAACAGAACATCGAAAAGAGTTCTCGGGTTTGCGTTAAGATCTATCCCAGTTCAGTCCCTGACACCAACCACATGGCCCCTCTGAGCACTGCTGGGGGGGCACTAGTGATCTCAGGGACCGTATCCTTGGGCCCCAGCACTCAACAGCTGGGCTAGGGTGGCTGAGAATCCTGGGGCAGAGCCCCATGGTCTACTGCTACTTGGTAGTCACCCTGTCCCTGTCTCTAACTGAAAGACCAAAGCCCATGAGGGGAACTCTGCAA